TTTTTTTTAACTAGCTGATAAGCTAGTTGATACTTGATAGCTGATAAGTTTGCTTATAGTTTATCGTAATTTTTGAGCTTATAGCTTATACTTATGACTTATAGCTGAAAAGCTAACTTATATGATAAAGATGTTTGTAAAATAAGCTGATAAGGTATGTTGACATCATTTTTCATAAACTGAATTAGCGTGCGATTACGACCACAATCATCTGAAGCTAATAGACTCAATGCCTCGGTAATGGCTATCCTGGACAAAGTATGCCCACGTCGGATGCGCATGGGTGAAAACCGATGTCATCCCAAAGCAATTACTCGGGACGACTTTAACTATCATCAGCTCAACCGATGTTCCCCTGACCTAAGGCTTTGACAACCGATGTCATCCGAGAAAAAATACCGATATCTTAAGGCGGTGCCATGTCAGCTCGTAATCATGACTGCCAGCCAAATAACAAACAATCGCCTTTGACTGTTGACCCTGCATTAAATGAACTCACATCTACCTCGTACACGGGGCCACCGCTCTATAAATAGCGGACCTCACTCCCAACAAAGAGAGGACTTTCCTTTGACTAAAAAAATGTACTCTGTACTCAATCCAAAAAATTATCAATAAAACCGACGACGTCCGAGTACAAAACCGACCTCATTTTCCTTCAGTTCACTTCGAGTTATTAATTCATAATCGTTGTTAAAGATCGTTTGACAACAGTTTGGCGCTAGAGGAAGGGCCTCATATTGTTTTTGAGGTTAATCTCCACCTTAACAGCTGCCAAGAGCTTCAGATCGTTGCATACAACATCTCACCCTATTCGTCTCACTCTGGGCGAGATCACGCGTCCCAAGCCGGAATCAATCAAAACGCTAATCATTCTCGTGAACATACGATACGACCCCCTACTGCACCGGATTTCACTTCCTTTTTTCAGAATCCAGACTTCATACAAGGTCTCTCGTCTTTAATGGCACGAGCGTTGCCAGGCCCAACGATAACAACTCATCCTACGACTGCGGTGCCATGTCCGAATCTCCTGACACAAAATCAGATAGCTCATGTTGCAACGTCACATGCGAAATCATTACCGCATCACGAATCTCGGCGTCAGGAGGAACAAAATCGACCAACAGTTAATCATATGCCTAATAATCAGGACGTTGATGTTATTCAAAATCAGGAAATGACTGCGGAGAGTCACTCTACTCATCGTCACCGAACTGTCGTACCTCCTAGACCCCCGTCTCCTCCACAAGTTGATCGTGAAGATTTGCGTCAACAAATTGAGCGAAATCGCATGTCGCGACAGAATTCTGAAGAAATAGAAGCTTTGCGAAAAATATTGACCGAACTGGAAACTAGGCATAGATCACAAGATGAATCATTGCGACATGCTCCCACTTCGGGAAACGTACTTATTGAAGCCGACTCACCTCTGGCACCTGAATTAACTGTAGAGGTTCTGCCTGCCAAGGTAAAAATCCCCCAGATTGGTATGTACGACGGCACGTCGGATCCAGACATGCATTTAGGTCATTATACCTCTTGGATGGACCTCCATGGTGCGTCTGATGCACTTCGTTGTCGTATGTTTTCTCTCACTCTGGGGCCACGTGCTCAGAAGTGGTACTATACTTTGCCACCTCATTCCATTTGGAAATGGCAGCAGCTGAGAACAGCCTTTCGCTCACATTTTATTGGTGCACAAATTTGTCTTATTCCTAAAGAGTCTATCACTAACATAGTTCAAAAGGATGATGAGTGTCAAGGACTATGTTTCTCAGTTCAATGAATGAATTCAGAATATAGAGCATTGTCACTCTAAAACCTTGCTCGTGACAGCAATAGCTGGGCTTAAACTGAATTCTGTGTTTCAGTGGACCCTTTGTCAGAATAAGCCTAGCACTTTTCAGGAGTTTCTCATGCGAGCCCAACAATTTATCATAGCTGAAGAATCCATGTCAGTCCCTAACTTTACTTTTCTGCCAAGGGCGATAAAGCGAAGTCAGATAGCAAGGAAAAGAGTAAAAAGAATTTTAGCAAAGCCCAATCTCGAGGTTATATGAAGAGCAATTTCAACACCCCAGAATCACGAGCAGAACGAGACCGATATGCCGAGAATGTAAGGACCGAATATCAAGCTGTGTATTCTGCAGGAGCAACGGCAATATTTGAAGAATTAAAAGGAAAAGGAATAATTCTTGATCCTAAACCTGTTCGGACTCCCGAAGAAAAACTCAACAAAACCCGATATTGCG